TCAGAAGCTGGTTTTTTCAAATGGAGACTCTCAAAGGAGATTCATGGAGGTATTCATCTTAATTAGAAACTACAACTTTCAACAGGAATATAGGAATTTCTATACCAGATCAAACCAGTGGTCCATCTAGACCAGTGTCCTGTTTCCAGCAGGGGCAAGAGCCAGATGCTCTGCGAGAAACCCCATAATGGACAGTTGTGGCCAAAACTTCCTCTAAGAAAGCTCCTTCCTAGACTCCATCGCTAACAGACAGCTCCTGTACTGCCGGACTTGGCCCTTTTGCAGATGACAGGAGAAAAGAAAAAAAGCAGATCGGAATCTAGGAATATTTTTTGTATCTAAATAGTCTTAAGTTTAATTCCCCTCCAATGAGCATTCTTTGGTTTTGGATCACAGGTCTTTGGTGAAAGGCTATATGAACAGTTGTTTTTAAAGAAATTCTAGTAACGCTTTGGGTAGCAGAAGAAAGAAGCATAATCCTCTACTGGAAATCAAATACCATCCAGCAAGGTAAAGAGGTTGTGCCACTAACACTTCTGTCAGTTCTGGTAAGCAATCCTCCTTCAAGCAGTTAAAAATGTTTTGGTAAAAGACAGTAGTAAGACCTTATCCAGAATAATTCTGACGTCTGGTAGCCAATAAAGATTCCAGTAAAGCAGATGCAGAGAAGATCAGGGAAACAAGGAACCTGCCTTGGAAAGCTGAGTGCACTTTGCTTCACGCAGCAAAACAAAAGCTGAAAGGAGATGTGATTTTTGCCTGTGCTGAGGAGGTAAAATCCAAGGAGGCAGAAAGTGCTCAAAAACAATGGTTAGTTTAAAACTTTAAGTTAGGTTTTTTTCCCCTGCCAGCAGATGTTATTAGCTTTTTAACCAACAAAATTATGAGATTCGCAAACAGCCTCTCAACAGGAGAGGAAAGGGAAAAACCATGCAACTAATCTTATCGAGAACTTAATCTTTTTTGCAGGTGACTATGTAATGGAGCTGCCCACAATGCAGAGAAGGGGATTTAACAGCCAGAGCTCTGGAGGCCTCTCACTACAATGCAGGGAACGTGGGTAGGTAAGCAGGTATTTCAGTAGGATTCTACCTTCAAAGAACGTAGGTGGGCAACTTCCATGTCTGTAAAGAAGATGGAACCCTGCAGAAGCTGAGGCTGATAGCTCAGAGAATGAAATACACAGAATTGCAATAAGGAACCAACACTCCCTGCAAGACCGGGAAGATTCCCTCTGTGCATGTACTGAAAATACAACAATGACAAAACCTCAAGAGGTCCTAGCCCATAGTTTGCCTGTAGCTGATGATCTAACACATCAAAACCACTCTGCTTTGGTTGGTTGGTTTCTTTTTGTAACCAGACTGTTAGGGTGCAAAGAAGTATTTTTCATCACCTTTGGATATACTTGGAGAAGGAAAACTACAGAGAAGCTATTTCCCTTCCTTCCACTGACTTGCTTCCTTTCTCACTTGGAAGCTACATGCCAGACACCTATACTCCACTAAAGACTGCTGACTAGCTTTTTAGCTAGTTGAAAGATCAAAACATTAAGTTGCTTCTGAAATCTAAATGCTACACAGCGATGCCACCACAGGGTCATTAAAAGCATAGGAAACATTTACCTACCTCTTCCGGTCTAACCTCTCTGCTGGTGAAATCCTTTATGCAATCCAGGAAGCAGTTTTCTGTAAGTTTATTGTATGTTCCAAGAAACTCCTTGAACTATAAATAAAAATTAAACAGAAAATTAGTATTAAAAAATTCTCCACTAATTTCTTACACATAGCTGCATGGGCCATCTGGTGACACTAAAATTTAAAGGACAAGTTGCTAGAAAAATTAACTGTTAGTCAGAAGACTTTAGCACCAAATGCTGCTAGTACTTAAATCAGATAGTACACCATGTCTGACAATGGTCAAATGTTTAAATTTTGGTTGCTACAGAACTAGTCTTAACTCAGACGGTAACTTACAACTTTTTGTCTTTCTCCATGCCCGACACCTTTTACTCTGATAAAGTAATACAAGGTGTTCAAAGCCACCACTCGTGAATACAGCATCTTACCTGCTTGATCTGATCAGATTCCGATATTTGCCCAGCCATATTCTACTGCCTGTGATTCACTCACCTGTTCTGAAGATAAAAGTAGAGGCAGAGTTTCACACAAAAAGCATACATATGCACTGCACCATTTTACAACAGAACGGAATTTTCTACATCCTTGAAGTGTGTTTAAATGCAACTTTGCTAGCAAACTTTCAAGCCATCCATTTGCAGGAAAGTTATCTATTTGGAATGTATTCAGTTAAAAGAACATCCAGGATAATGCCAGTTACAAAACCTTCCCAAATCCACCTATTAACTGCTGTCCTTTAAACACTTTTTAACCAGTTCAAATGGTTTCAAGTGCCTTAAAAAAAAAAAAGGGTGTATTTTATAAATGTTTTCAAACTCACAAAGGGCAAAGTCACTAGGGCAGGAATGGGGGGAAGGGGCAAGCAATAACATTTTCTAGCCTTATAGTTTCAGTGACTTTAGATGCCATCTGTAAAAACAGTAAGGAAAAAGAAGGCAAGCATGGAATGTTAGCCACTCTGAATAGACGCAGCATAAGCCAGCTCGCATCAGAGAAGCGGACGCCTGGTTTCTATGTAGCTGCATTGTCACCAAACACTTAAACTAGAGCAAACGTTCTGGTCATTAAATATAGTGAATTAAATGCAAGAACACACAGAAGAATGAGAATGGCCTTAAAGGAAGCAAAACAAAGAAAAAAGGAAGAATGGACAGCCACCAATCCAAGAATTTAAGCACGCATCCTGAAGGAAGCCTCACATTCCTAATCCAACACTGTGAACAAGTTAAGGCTTGAAAGCATCCCTGCAGATTTCCTAGAAGAATACTGAAAGCTAGTCTTCCTCTTCCCTTAATTTACACATTATCGAAGACCTGTCACAGATGATAATGCAAGCTAATATTCCACATTGACGAGAAAAAGATCCTTCAGTTCAACCCACATCGACTTGTGGAAGAAAAGTTCGCACTGAAGTGTAATCAATTTGTGAAAAAAGTTCATTTAGCTCTTTAGCAAGGGCTACTTATAATTAAACTTACATTATGCTTGGCCAAGTTTTGAGCAAGACATTCACGTTTTAGAAAGCTTAAACTATTCCAGTCTCTCAGCAGGGGGAAGGGAGAGGGTAAGCAAGCCTTCTGAACAAGAACAAAAAGACATTAATAATTATTTCTACAACAGAAAGAAAACAAAGCAACTAAAAAATAGCACTCTGGAGCTCTCACAAGCACGCACTCTCCCTACACCACCTCCCAGTAGCAGAGTAAGCGTAACTTCTGCCTCTTAACATTACACTTAATCACTGGAGAGGAAGTCAATTCAGGGGTGGGAGGTAAAGAGCACGTAAGATTCTTGGGTTTAGGACACATACCCTCACAACCAAGAATTCCTCGTGGGTAGACAGGGCACAGGGGTTACTCTTAAGCAGAACCTCCGGGGTATGGTTGCTCAGAAGGAACAAGGCATTACTCAGGTTAACATAAACCTCTAACTTGTTTTAGGAGAGGTGGACAGGACTGTCATCTGGGACAACTAGTGAAAATGGATAGCCCGTTAGAAGAAAAATCAGTGACAATTCTATAAAGTCAGTTTAAGTAGATTATTAACAGAGAGTTAAAAAACAGAAAAGGAAAGACTTCTGTCCTCTCCCAAGCACAGAAAGCTAAAAGCTTCATTCAACTGTCAGTGCCGCTTTCTCACACTCAGTATTGCTTCATTATGCTCATTGATAACAAACATGATCTTCTGTTCTTCTGGGACTAGCTTGGCAAGCTTAGAATTACAGTTTTACTGAACTGCCCTTCCATGAAGCTTTTAAGCTTCCACTTGGGAAATGGCTCTGATTTAGATCAGCACAAAGGCATTCTCTGATTTTGAGTGTCTGAAGGACTTGTCCCTGTACAGGTATTTCACACTTTGAACACAGTGGGCAGTGAAATTACATGGCTCTCCTGCACCTCTTCAGTAGCTATAAATTACAGGCAGTTGCCTTAACATCTAAAAACATCTAAAAACAATGTTCCCCAGAATGTGAATATCTGGTTTATTCTTAAAGTATGTTAAATGTATCAATTCATGTTTTCTTGTTGTTTGTCCCCTTTCCCTCCTGGCTGTGAAACAAGCGGAAAAAAAAAAAGTGATGCAAGACCCCATTACAGGGCTTGGCACCTCGACTAACACACCACACTGCTTCTTACACAGCTGCTCAAACAACTCCAGCATGCTTCAGGTTTAAGCCTACACAGCCTGGATTATTTTCCTCCGGGCTAAGCATGATTTGGAAATTCAGCCTTGCACTTTTAAGTGTGTCACACTGAAGGAAGCAGATATCTGTGAATACACCTCTGCAACAAGGGCCAGTCTGGATGTGCTGGTTCACCAGGAAAGCAGCAATGGCTGGGAAGTCTCCCTTCTTGAAGGGCCCTGGAGCTCTTCCAAATACATTCCAATGTTCTAAAGAGACATTCTTTTAAGATAAGCCTCTCTGAGCAAAATTAGCAGTTAAGGATAACTTGAGGTTTTGATTTTTCAGCATTAGGCATAATGGGTTTTCCATCCTCTTTCCAAAGAGGTTAAAGGCTTTAGCCTATTCAAACCTATTCTCCATGCAAGATCCTTCCCAGCTCCCAGCCCTGTTTTAGAATCTGGAAAATACTTCTAATATTTCCTTCTGCTGCAGCTGCCACTCCTAGTGCCATGGAAACATGGAATTACTACAGAGTGACAGTTCTGCTTTTTTTTTTTTTTAAAAAAAAAAGCTAAAGCTCATTTATTAAATAAAAAGGGTGATTAGGTTAAGGATTCCTAGCTGACCTGGGTCAACCATCTATCTGTTTCCATGGCAGGAGGAACAGGAGCCAGAACTGAAGAGGTCAGAACTCCTCTAAAACTTCCTATGTGTGGGAATACAGCTTCCTCAGCTGTTATGTCCAGAACTTCAGGAGCAGAGGGCTCAGGAACGTAACACACAAGCACTAGTAACTGGAACAGAGCTTTTGATTATTATTACTGTGCTGCTGGGTGGCTGAAAAGTCTGCCTCCCATTAACAGCCTGGAGCTCTTACAGGTGAAACACGCACTGCAAACTACGGTAAGGAAGTTTTGGTTTTTTCCACTGATGTAATCAACATTAGTGTCCATTACCTAATCTCGAGTCAACAGTATCCTTTCCCATGGAAACTAAACAAGCCCTGTGTTTTGGTGGGTTTTTTCCCAACCTTTTCACAAGGAGCTACATTTTATTGGGAGAAGGGTCCATGGAGAGACACCATAAATCCTTCACACTTGTTATCCTGATTAACAATCTGAATTAGGTGTAGGTATAGCCTACTCTATACAAACAGGGCTGCAGGGCTTTTTTTTTTAAACCTTCACTTTGAATTGTACACACAGAACACCACACAAGTGTTTCTACATGTGCATAAAAGGGACAAAGAAGAATAAAAATACCAAGTCAAAGAAATGTGTCAAGATAAAGCACCCACAGCTTGTAGAGAAAGCTTTTTTTTTAATAGCTGGGAATTACTAGGCTAGAACTTGATTGACATCAGAGTAAAAAACTCATTTATTTAAAGAGCTCTTTTACTAAATCTAATCAATCTACAAATACCTATGAAACCAGCAGGCTGCTAAACTAATTGCATAAAATTCAGGGCAAGAGGCAATTTAACACCAAAATCCTGGGGCTGCATGCCTGGGCAACCAACCCTCATCCTGCCCCAGCCCAGCAAGGCAGCAGCAACAGCCCCACGGGGAATGAAGGCAGAGCCCGGCTCTCCCCTGTGCCTGGAGCAGGTCCGGCCGCCCTCCTTCAGACCAGTACTTGTGACGTGGTTACAGAAAGGTTTTCCTCTCACCCCACACACTACTGTCGGCCTTCAGAGGAGTTGAGAAAGGGACTGGGCAGCAGGTGACTGGATAATAAAGTGTACCTGGTGCACAGGTTACTGTAATTCATGATCTCCTGGCTGTGGGATGGACCCTGCCCTGAAGAAGAAGAGGTCAATGATAGAAAAGGTCTCCTAACGCCACCAGCAAGCTCACATAGCAAGTCTGAAACTGGACACCCCCAGAGCCTCTTTGAGCAGGCCAAACACATGCAAAGGGTTCTATCCCAATAGAAAATATGTATTTTTCCATAAGAGGTCCCCTATTTAAGTTAGATTAGGCCTGGCTCATACTCACGACTCGACCTAAGCTGGAAGCTGAAGATACAACAATTTCACCTTGACTTCGGTGGTTTGGGTTTTTTGTGAGGTGGTGTGTTTTTTTTTCCCCACTACACCCTTCAGTTCTTGCTTCCAAGGGCACCTTGAGTTTCTGCGCCCGGGCAGAGTCTCGCTCGGCCAAGCCCCGGCCCGGTGCGGGTACGCCAGCGCGCCCCTCCCTCTCCATCCCCGCTGAGGGGAAGGCGCCCCG